GGAGAAGGAGAGGTCGATCACTTCTCTGTGTTCATGACGATCTTTTGTACTTAATGGTTTCCTTCATTTGCTTACTAGCTAGCTAGTGTGTCGAGTCCTCTCTATATGTAGCGTCGACCAAGCACGGAGATAAGAGAGGACACTCCTCTCTATTAGCTAGCTAACACAATATATGAAACCCCTAAATTAACCCTACAAAACCCCCCAAACCCCCCTCCCTTTCAGAAAAAAACAAACCCAGCCCCTGAACTGCTGACGCGTGGAGGCCTTTTGGTCCCGGTTGGTGGCACCAACCGGGACAAAAGGTCCCCCTGCCTGGGCAAGCCGCTACGGCCACGTGGAGCCCTATCTGTCCCGGTTCCCGATCGAACCAGGACTAAAGGTGGAGGGCTTTAGATACGACCCTTTAGTCCCAGTTTGTGAACCAGGACAAATGGCCCTCACAAACCAGTTCGAATAGCCCTTTTTCTCCTAGTGGCAGATAGGGCCCCGGATATAACACCAAGAACACAATTGGTAATAACACATACAATGACCTCATTGGAGACACTTAGGCCACCGTCTCTTCCCTTAAAACCTGTTGAACCTTGTAAGGGCCTCAGTTTAAGGCCGGGCGATAACCTTTTGCTAAAACATATGGCATTTCATAGCCAAATTTTGACAAAATTGCATACAATACCCTAAAAACAGAAATTGTAGCTAGGTCCCTCCTTTTTGCAGATAGGGCCCCGAATATATCACCAAAACCACAATTGGGTAGTAACACATACACTGACCTGATTGGAGACACTAAGGCCACCGACTCTGATGCAAACCTTGATGGCGACGAGTAAGGGAACAAAGGCCTCCCCGCAGGGTTGAACAAGGCACTCGGAAAGCTACCTCCAACAACACTTGATCGATGATAATAGAACCCACACCCATCGCCACCTTGACGGTGGGAGGAGCGATTATGACTCTGGGTTTAGCTACACTGGTGGCATAGTGAGCTTATTGAATAAACTCGTGTTGGATCTACAGCCCATGCCAATCCCAACCATGGACGACAACCAAAATAAACAACCCGACGTCGATCAAGTGTAGCTCACAAATGCTAAGATGAAGTGTTGACATGACATGTCGCCAAACATCATGGAGTCAAATGAAAACCTAGACCTAAACTACCTCTACTAACCACAATGATGTCCCAACCACCTCTCCCATTCCCACCATGACCATCGTCGAGGGAGGAGTGGATAGGTTTGGACGAGAAACTCGTTGCTTGAGAGCTTACCTATCAATCTCAAGCTC